CTATATTTTCCCTGTTGAGATATTTACAATAACATTTTTTTCCCTTAAGGCAACACTGTGAAAGTCAGCATCTCACAGAAAAGCTTTTATAGATGAAGAAAAAAGAACAAAACGTCATGACAAATTGAATCTTCAATATTTGAGTTCAAGTAATTTGTTTGCTTTAAGTATACACATGCACTAAAACAATGTTGTGATTAGTAATAAATTAAGGCAGATACTAAAACAGCAGTGTTTTAGTGAATGTCCAAATCTGCACCAGCATTACAGATGAAATATAGTAGGTGAACCCCAAGTACATAACCATCATAATTATAGCTATACTATCAAATAATTGTAAAAGGCTTAATATTATGCATCCCTTACAGTAAGAATTCTACAAATGTGGGAACTTACAAGAGTTTCCATTTCCACTTGATTAACATAAAGGCAAACAATCAGACAAGCCTAACTGATCCTATAGTGTCCTTGAGTGACCACGATTTACTGCACGACTGCCAGCTGACACTGTCTGCAGTGCCATGAGAAAAACAAGAAAACACAAAGACAGACCTAAACAAAACAAGAAAGAAAGAAATTTAAAAGGCAAGAAGCGAGCAAGTAAGCAAGACAGACATGAAATGAAGATACAGTATAATATAAAGCCAGACTTAGTAAATACATGTGTGGCCCATCAAAAGGAACCCTACCGGAGGACAAATATAAATAAAACACAATCATTAACCAGCTCTGCCACACTTAACAAGGAGCTCGGAGAGACGAGGGAAGAGGAATAAGTGGAGGGAGCCTCAGGGTTGCCGCAGCAACTGAAATTAGAACCTGGGATAACAAGAGAAATGAGAATGTGTGGGACGACCCAGGTGAGACAGACAGACGGGGGAACAGAGACAGAGAGAGAAAAAGATTCATACCACTTATACAACAATGTGATAAATAAAATGACTGTGTTTTCTTTTAAAATCAAAGCGAAGGCAGTAGCTCGTAATTCACCGTAATACATGAAGGAGCCATAAATGGGCTCTCCTGCCGTGTGACATCATCTAAATAAAATATAAAAACACATACTTGCCTTCTGCAGCAGGATTATTGGAGCTGTGTGAAAATGATTAGATATCAGATTAGATATTTATAGATTGTGTTCAAAATAATTCAACTTCCGCTTCCAGTTATTAATAAAGTCAATTTTATTTTTATAACCCTTAATCACAGTGAGTCTCAAAGGGTTTCTCAAAGCCCACACTATAAAAATAAAAATAACTCCCACAAAAACTTAATTAAGAAAAAAACGTAAGGAACCTCTGACAGAGCCACTTATCAGTAAACAACAGACATGATATACAGACAATGATTTTTTATAACACTGTGATAAATTTTAAAGCAACCATCGCACCACACACTGCTGACAGAAATGAATTTAGCTGTGAGCAGTTATCAAGCACCTTTCAGGGTCTGCTCGGAGGTTGCCAAGAGACACACAATGCCAACTGGAGGCTGGCAGTTTGTAAGGTCTGAGTTTTAAGATCTAAAATGCCCATATTGGTCCCAAGGGAGGGAATAATTAAGGCATAAAGATCTAAAAGGCTTGTCACATATGGCTGGCCAGCTGTCACATCTGTCTGTTCATATTCATGGTGCTAACAACTAGTCCTATACTAAAGCAGCAGCAGGGTATGTAATGGCTGAGCATTAAATGTCAGCTGACTGAACTACAACTAAAGGCTCGCACAAGACAGCGCACCAAATGAGGAGAAGCCTGGCATTTAAAACAATACACAAGCTCCACTTCTCATTTGAGACGTTCACTCCCGAGTGGGTTGTGTCAAAATCTATTCCCCTGTGGTTCTACTTCACACATCCCTAGTGTTCAGTGTTATGGAAAGCAGTACTGCAGAACCAACAGAGGAGCATTATATTCAGGAGGAAAGTATTAAACTTTGCTCAATTCCTGTAGGATGTCAAATATACATGTCTCCCCTTTTAGGGCAACAAGGTGTTGCAGCGACAAGCCCACAACTAGTGGACCTTAAGGTGCAGGTCAGCCCTGCTGATGTGTCAGTGAACAAGGCACTGAGCCACTTGCCTGCTCCAGGAGAACTGTGAGATTGTCCTCACCAGAAAAAAAACACAGCATTGCTTGTTTGTTCCAAATCCTACAATAACCTGCATGCTTACATTTACAAGAACATTTTCTAAGAAGCCACCTCTTGATGTCACAGTAGTAAATAAATGGTTGGTGACTTTGACATGGAAGGTAATGACAAACAAATACATGTTGTCCTTTAGGTATGAGGACTTGATGGTTGTGCATCTAACCATGTGTTCTGTCCATATAAAAAGAGAATTGTGAATAATGAAACCACACCCCATTCAGTTTGTTGTGGTCCAAATCTGAGTGCAAGCAGTTTTTCTGTTGCATTCATGCATTGGTTGCCTTTATGATAACCATACACAATTTTCAATTCTGCTGCAATCTATCAACAAAAGCCATGTGGGGGACAATTTAGTCAAAACAAATCCAACTGCTGTCTGTGTCACTTTAGCTGAGCTTTGTGGACTTGCAGTCTTGGCTCTTTGTTTGCACTGATCTTCAACACTTCTTTTCTGCTCTATTGTGCAGTTTAGAATTGTATTGTCTGCATCTTAAGAACAAATTTGTTCTTGGTTCAATTTGTTTGTCTTGGCTTTTCAAGCATGTGTAAGTGCTGGAAATCAGATGACAACATCAGTCTCTTTACAACAATAAAACTACCAGGCTTATTTCTTGTAGATGAAGTTCTAACTCCTAATACATTGCCTTGTTCACTTGAGGTACACATTTTTGGATGTTGTTGTGTAGTTATTTTTATAGTTTAAAAGCCTCTGCTCTCACCTGTCGAAATAACAGAAACTAAATACACTTCAGAACAGACAGGTGCAAATGTACTCTGGCTTAGACCACAATTGGGACAGATATAGTGAGCTGGGGTTGTGTGGGAGTATCCTATGCATCTCTCTGGGATCCCTGCTGTGACCTGATGTTTGAAATGTGGTAGGATGTGGCTGTGTGTGGTAGGCAACTGGCAGTAGTGACTGACAGGTCAAGTGAGCGCGGTGGTCTGTGCAGGTGTCCAGTTCTTCTGACTGATCTGAAGTGGCTTCAATTAACTGAAGCAGGCAAGTGTAATTGAAGTGACTGGGGGGGACAGACTAGCCCACTGACAGAGCTGGTGGGGCGGGGGAAGGGGTAAGATGTCCCTCTGACAGGTCCTCTAATGCCCCACCAACTCCAACTTTTCTCCATCTCTTCTTAGCTAATTACTAAGTATCCATATGGAGACACTTGTCACTGTGATCACAGCAAATTGGCTGTAACTGCAGGGTCAGCAAGGACTGTCTTTCACTCGCTTGTACACTACAGGCATACACACAGGATACACACATCTAGTCTTGAACAAAAACAAGACACACACACAGTGGTTTTCATCATTTTCAATACTGAAACTATTCTGAGTTTCCTGAGAGAACAGAAATTAAGTCACAGCCAGGAAATCCAATATCACAAGCACTGCCTCACGTACATCTGCAAAACCATTTTCATGTTGATTCTGCATGATGCTCTGTCTGTACGATAATCTAGAAAGGGGGTGATTAAAATATCCCAGCATTTCTCAACAAATCCTACACACAGATTTAATTTTCATGGATATATGCAGCAACGCTGATGTTAGAAGACACTGCCAGGTGAAATGCTAGTTTCACTCTGAATATATGAAGGTAAATCACGCTCCAAACATATGGGAACATGGAGAATAGATTTGCACTGTGTCCTGAAATTTCTCGTGTGTCTACATTTGCTCTACATTTACCTATTAAACTGAAACGATAGATTCACTTTGTTAAACGTTTTATGAAGCAGTGAAACAGCAGACAAACCTGTACACACCAGCAAGCCAATATGTCACATCAATAATGCACTATCATTTACTATTTTCTCCTCTCAGCACACGAAGAAATGTGTCTTATGGCCTCTAACTGAATAGACTGTGCTATTTTACACTGCCTTTTCATCTAGCTTTTGCTCTTGCTTTCTTGCCGTCTTGCTGTTCTTGCTAGTTTTACATTACCTAATTAACATGGAAAAGTTTTCAGGGGAGGCATGGAACTCACAGGCCCACATAATATCCCCTGAAGGATATATTTTATTGTTCTTTTTTGCCTCTCATGTTAGCACATCCTCCATGCCTCCACCCTCAATTTCCCTTCTTGAATCCTGATCTCCTTCCTCTTTTTTCACTCTTAGAATTGTATTGTATTGTAAAACTGGGTGCAACTTCCACTTTTAAATGACGGCTGAATGCCACCTGAAACTTCTTACACAGCTGCTGCCATTTAGATGATCAAGTGTCTGCTGCATCCTCTGTTCTCTTGCTACTTGGTATTCCTCCACTGGTAGCCTTTAGATCTTCTGTCACCTTCATTCTTTTCGAAGGTTTGTGTTTTCTATTCAAACCATCTACCTGATTTCTCATTCTGGACCATCAGTTTCCTCTTACCCACTCTAACGGTCAACCCTAAACATCTCACAACTGGTGTATGCATTTCAAAAAGCAAAGCAATATGTAGTTCTCTTGAGACAAACTACTGACCTGCAACTTAGGGTTTGTTATTTTCCATGACATGTCTGCACCTGCAGATCTATAAAGTAGACTACTGAAGACAACTTTAGCCAAATATAGAATTCAAAAGAACATAGAATGTCAAATAAATAAACATGTAAATCAAATTAAACCTAAACCTATTACAATATTTGTCTGGGCTGACAAATCAGTGCAGAACACATCACATCAGGAAGACTGCAACAGTTATAAAATACACTAGTTACAAGTTAGTTCAAAGGCCTTGAGGACCAACAGAAACCATTTTCAGGCCCCTTTCAACAGTATACTTGCCATTTCCTAATATTGGTACAGACCGACACCCCCACTTCCCTCCCCCAGATCCTCACCCCACTTGATGCTCACCTAGATCAAAGTCCCCCGCACATCTGTTCCGCTCGCTGCTGCCATGACTCGCCAGCTGGACTCTGTCCGTCAGTTCTCTCTGTCAGTAGGTTTGTCAGTACTGCATGTCTGCCTGAGCTTCTTGGCAAGCTGCAAACGCAAACAGCAGAAAGAATCAACAAGACTGTAGTTGTGAGAGTGAGTGTGGGTGTGAGCCAGTGCCTTATCATATTCTTGCAAGAGACTCCTTGTCAAGTTGACTGTTTGTGTGCGCATCTGTTATGTAGGAGACTTGAATGCAAAACACTGTTGAGATAGAGTGTGTGTGCCTGCGTGTGTGTCTGTGTGACAAGATATTACAAAGACACATGTTTTACCAAGACTGTGGTGAGGTTTACACAGCGAGGCGGAACAAAGTGGGACAGGGACTCCTTACGTAATTACACCCAGCATTAAAACACTAATCCAAACACAAACTGTATCTGGACTGTATCCAAACCGCAAACTAAGCTACAGGTGTAAACAGAGCCATGAAGGAATTCAATCTCATTATAACAAATCAAAAGCTTATATCAATAAGATTCAAAGCAAGCTTAATGCTTCCTTAATACTTTTTGGGGTATATTTACACTGACCCATAAATATGGATAAAAATCTTTGTGGATATAATTCAGATGTACATGCTGCATGCTAATGCGATGTATAAAGGGCCCACAGAGACAGTACAACCATCTGATAGAACAGACCCACAGTGGCACTCAACTCCAGCATAGAGGTATGCACTGGCAGTCTCATTAAAATCCTCCAAGTCTAATTCTCTTTCAAATACCACCTCTACCTAAATAAACATGACCGAGGACGCTTACTCATACTCCACAAGCCTGCCAACCACAGACAAACAGGATTTCACAGAGCCAGCTGGTTGCGTTTGGCCAACCATTATTCTAGAAAGGTCTGTGGATTATAACAAATGTCTAAAGCTAAACAGCCACAATGATGTTCTTTGGGCTCATAATTCAGCCAATCCATAAAGATGCCTGACATTTAAGACATTTGAACTAGATCTGTGTTAATTTTCTTTTATAACCAGCTCATAAAGCACAAAGCTGAATTTAAAAAAGGCATGAATGACTTTAAACTATGACAACAGCTAAAGAAAAGTCAGTTACAAGCCTCAGAAGTTAAATAAATTATGACATTAACTAAAAGACTAAACGCTAACTTACATTTGGCCCAGACGTACTGAAGAAAGAATAGGCTACTTTTTACAATTAAGCTGTTTGTATTCATGACCAGTATCCAAAATGCCTGTGGGCTTTTACCTCAGAGAGAGAGGAGATGACTGAATGAAATATCTTAAGATCCACATGTTTACACATACCAAGGAAATGTCAATCAGATGCAAAATACAGACGTGGAGCCTTGAAAGAAATGTCAAAAAGGCAGCCTGGCTGTGTGATGTGTGTATGGGACCAAGACCGTCTGATCAATAGCTCACCTGAAATTAATATGTGATCCTTCTTACTCACTCAACAAAGCAGACTGTAGTCCAAACATGACAACAAAATAGACGCAACCCAGATCAATAGGCCCCATTTAAAAAAAATCTATTGAGCCTAGTTTAATAAAACATTTTCAACAGGCAAAGTGGGGACTGACCATCCTGCCTGACACTCCACCTGCATGATAAATCACAATCTTTCTGGCTTTTGATTGTGATTTTCAGCAATCAAAGTTTAGACTGTAACTTCAGTAATCCTTTTTTCTCTCGTGGTCTTACATCACATTCACCATTACAAAATGCAGTATATAGCTTACTCTACCATAGCTACAGAGAATATTGGATATTTTCAGATGACTGCACAGCTTTGGCACAGAAGCCTCATCACTGTTCTACATGAATACAGACACCCTACCAGTCTCAGCTTCCTCAACTTGTTGCAGCCCCAGTCAGAGCTCAATAATGCCAGACATCAGATCATTTGGAACAATAAGAATAAGAATAGATTTCTATCCCTAATCACTAATAAGTATTTTAAGGGTCTCTTTCTTTATGGTAGCTATAATAAATGTGTTTTTATATTAACAATGGATCACATGATAACTTGTCTGTGAAACGGGGCGCCTGTAGTAAGGACTCCAGAGAGAATTATAACGCAACTCTGCAGTTCTCCTCAGTTCTGCAGAGCTTTTGGCTTTCAGCATATTGTTTTAGTTAGGGATGCACCAATTGATGGACCGGTGACTGGGGCCGATTAGTGTCATGTGTCTGATTGTGTGCCGGTCAAATTTACACGGATGCTGCACAGCATGATGTTTCGCGTCATGCACAGCGGCACAGACACAGAATACTGTCACAGTCACACAAACTCAGGAGCTAAAATATGCCGTTAGCATGGAAGTTCTTCATAGTGAGTGAAGAAGACAGTACTCGCAATTTGAAATACCTGTAAGGCGAAAATAAGGTGTTTCCCACACAGACTTTACATGGGCAGGCCAAGAGAAAACCATTGATATTTTACAAGCATGGACAAGGTAAAGCAACAGTGAACACAGCTGTTGGTGCCGATGTCATTCGGCACAGCGTTGGTCTTTAACATTTAGATAGGCAACGTTATTAACAACAAGACTGCACACGTGGCTCACCTGCTGCTGTGAAAACATGAGTGGAAAAATCCAAAATGCTAGTTGTGTTTTTTGTCTAACTTTTTAAAACCGCTGAAAAAAGTCAACATAGCAGACACAGGGAGAGAGAGACAGAGCAAAACAGGTATAGGTGTGTGCATGTGTGTCTGAACGGAAAAGCTATGTGAGCTGATTAAATCAGTTTGTGAGCAAACAATAAAATAAGGTGGCAAATTAAGTAGAATTAAAATTGAGAGATAAAAAATAACTAGAGCCCGACCAATCTATCGTTTTGCAGATATTATCGGCCGATATAAGCTAATATATGACTATTAAAAAAGAGAAACAGAGAGTCGGATCCTTCCCTCATGTCATGAGTGTTGTATAGTTTGCCCACCAGAGGGCGCGCTGTAGCTCCTCAGTTAACAACACTGCAGCACCACAGAACAAAACATCAGCTGACCGCAGTCTACCAGAGCGGCTCTGCCGCAACTACGGTGATTAGCTCGTGGTAGCTCTCACACTCAGTGATCCCGGTGAGTTGCTTACTGTAGTTTTATGCATATGACTCTTTTATCAAAATTTTAATATATTTTGTTGTACTTTTGTTCAAAATACTATTTCTAACAATAAAAGTTTATTTTTTAACTGCATTATGTCATGGTATCTTAGTGAAGTCTCAACATAACCAATGTTAGGGATAATCTTTGTTTATGTTATGCGTTTCTTAAAATAAGGGGAAAAAGAATATCGGCCGATACATCGGCTATCGGATTTTAAAATCCTCAAATATCAAAATCGGTATCGGACTTAACAATCCCATATAGGTCAGGCACTAGAAATAACCTACTAGAAGTATAGGATAATTTCAATTATTTATGTAATGGTTTAAAAGTCAGTGTTTTACTATGCTGCAGTAATAGAGGTTTATTTTCCATTAAAGAAAAGTTTTAAAATTTCGTGTATGCTGTCAATTATAGTTCTTAGAAAGAAAAAAAAAATCGGGAATGGCCAAGAAAATTGCAATCGGTGGATCTCTGGTTTTGGTTCACTCTCACTGCTCTCATAATGTAATTTTTTTAATTTTCATTTCAATTTTTTTAATTACTTCAGCAAAAAAGCTCTACAAAAATAACTGCAGCCTACCTGCCAAGCACTAAATGGTAGACATACAATTGTCAGCTACTAGCAGGTGAATATAATAGACTATTTAGCAGCTGAGACAAATAGAAGAGACAGATATTTCCCTCAAAGGTTGGTGGAGACTACTGAACTTACAACCTCCAGAAGCACAACTCTGGTGAATGCTATTGTTGCTAACACGTTCTCCATATCAACATAAAACATAATAATGAGTCAGTGTTGTGTTCACAGCTTGTTTCTGCTGCCCCCTATAATGCTATATCATGATATAATGATCAGCACAGTAATGACAATGTCCCCAACTTCAATATCTTCTGCTTCCTTTCTCATTGTTCCACTTTTGCAACTAAAAATGATAATCAAACACTTTCTGTATTCAGTCAGAGGTGTGATACTGAATTGGGACCACCGGAAATGAGGTATGACCTGGAGCTTGTAACAACCCCATCAACGGTTTGGATGAGCAGGATGGGACCCAGCCTCCATGCCCTTCCTGTCTTTCTGTCCTTTGTCGTTTGCCCTCCAATGACTCTGGCAGTCTCAAGTGGTCAGTTAAGACAATGACAGATGAGAATAGACAATCCAGCCAGTCATGCCACGTAGGCCTGACTGGTTGACCCCAGCAATGTCTGATCATCACGAGATAGCACTGTCTGTCCGGCAGGAAAATGCTGCCAGACAGGGAGGTGGGAAACAAAAATACAAGAGCAGAGAAAATGGAAAGCAGAAAAATGAAAAGCCGACAAGACACAGAGGGGGGAGAGGCAGGATGAAAGATAGGTCGAACTACAACAGGCTGATGAAACAGCAAGAGAGACAGAGAGAGAAAGAAACGGAACAGCAGCTCAAACAATAGTCAAGAAACAGAGGAACAAAAAAATGAGACACACTAAAGGGATAGAAGACAAATTAAGCAGAGGGCAGAGAGGGACATGGATAGATGGGGGTAGCCCAAAGAATATAAAAAATATCAGACTCAATTCTGCTCTCAAAAGAAGAGAGAATTAAATAGGAAGAAAGACTTGCTCTTCTCCATCTCACCGCTCCTAAAACCTGCACAGACTTAAAAAGACCAATATGCAGACAGGAACAAAACGCCAGGGGGGTTACATCAAGCGCTTCACTACTTCCAAAAAGAGCCACAGAGGAAGAATAACTGACACAATTAAGAGCATAACTGTCATCACAGCCAATCAACCCAGTGCCGCCCACACACAGGCACTGAGCAATACACCCATCATGACGAGGGATGAAGGGCCGCTAATTCCCCCTGGCAATGCAGCAGGGACTACTAATAGTGGACGCCAGATACCTTAAAGGCTTAAAGGCTACAGCATTGTAATGCAACAGAAACATGAGACATGTACAAAGTCGTTTCCATC